ATAAACAGTGTCCCCCATTTTATTGCTCTATTTTGGGACCTGGAACCCACCTTCAGAGCACATGTACCATCCTTACCTAAATTCTGTGGTATTCACAATTTCATATAACCTAATGCATATTTGTCTTCTTTTATTTACTATTTAATAATATCACTCTTTTCTAGTGTACTGAAATATAGACTCATTACTTCTTCCAGGTTTGGTTTCCAGTTCATTTGTTCATTTATTGGGCAATCTTGGTCAAGTCACTTTATTTATCTGAGCCTTCGTTTCCTCATAACTAAAATGAGAATACTGATAAAAGCTTTACCTTCAGGCAATTAGAAGGAATGTATATGAAAGTACATTGTAATCAACACAGTGCTATCTCAGTGGCAACTGTGGCTGCCTGTCATTTCCAAACTTTTCAACATAGAATGTGTGTCTGGAACATCATCCTCATTCATAGAGGCTGTTTTCATGTGTACGGAACAAAAGAAAGCAAGTATTATCCCTGCCCTCAAAGCAATGAGTATGTATTCCATCTGTTGCTTATAGCACTTACACAAAAATAGAATAATTCACAAATTATACTAGGACGTAAAAGGCAGTACAGACACAGTTGAAAGAAATAGTTGCTAGTGAATGTGTTATTAATCCAGGCATTTGTACGTGGGTGGAAGCTTGTAAAGACTGAGTCATAGGAATGGTATTTTCAGAAAGATTTGGGATGTGACTACAAGAAGGACAGAAGGGGAACGACTTCTTCACTCTTCTGGTTTGTGAGAGTCAATTGGTCTCTCCAGTCGAGAATGTACCACTCTGCCCCTAGGAATTTTAACCTTCCTTTGAAATTTGTTTGGTATGTTAGCTACTCTAGGGTTTCTTGAGACCTCTGAGTCACTGCTATTACTTACACCTACCTCCAGTTCATAGCAAGCACATCTCCATTATTTATGCCTTCAAAGAGTTTTCTGTAACTGTAGCATTTATCAAATTATATTATGTTTATATACCTTTCTGTCATCTGTACCTTCATGCTGGCTTGGAATGACTTATTTATCATAAAAGAGAGGTCAGCAAATGTTTGTTGAATGAATGTGTTTACTCGGTACATACTATGTCAGTTGGGTATTTAGGGGGATCCACAAATGAATGAAAATCACCTGTTTCTTGATGGAGGAGAATATATACATATATATATGTGTGTGTTCATAATATATATAAAAATACAAATAAATATATATAAGTATAAATAAATATGTATTATATATAAATATATATTTCAAATATGTGTGTGTGTGTATATATAAATCCTACTTCCTATTTCTGAGATTTGTTTGGTTTAGTGTAAACTAAATCATTGTATACTTATATGTATATATTTGGATTAAAACAACACTAAAACTATTTCACTTAATGGGAATGGAGAAGGTTTCTAGTTTTTATTTAAGTGATATCTGAAAATTTTACAAGTCTCTGTAATACTGTCATAACAACAGAGTTTAATTCTGTTTATAAAATTGTTTCCTTCTTATGGCTGTGGAACTTTTACTGTTTTTTTGTTTTTACTTTATTGGCCAGTGTTCCTTCAGTTTCTTCATTTTTTTCAATTAATGAATGTCTCTTAAAGTCTTATTCCATGCTACATACAGTGCATGTAGAATTGTGTGGAAGGTACAGAGATTAGTCCCACAAGGTCCCTGCCCTGAAGAGTTTGCCAACTGGTCGGGGAGGCAGCTGTGTATTGGAGTTGGAGGATAAAATGCATTTCTTTTTGTTGATGCTCTTCAAAAGCAAGGAGGTAGAGTTGCATGGTTAGTTTTCAAAAGAGACTTAGCTACCATGCCCTAATTTTGGGGGAGATGTTAGGGGTCAGAGGGAGGAAGCTTACAGGACCATTGAAGTGTGGATGGGAATGGAGGGGAATGATGGAGTTGCCCTAATGGCAAGATCAGCCTGAAATTCGAGTGAGTGAAAGTGAACATAGGAGGGAAGAAGTTTGAGAAGTGGGAGGGTAGGAGCTCAGGGTCCAAAGATGCAGCTTAAGTGTGCCTTCAGGGAAAGGTGGTGAGATGAATGTATGCTGTTTATCCCTGGTACCGCTGACACTGTTTACTTCCAAGTAGAGTAGATTAGGGAAGACACAAAGATCCCGGCTCTGAATTTGGCCTGGCTGTGAAATGTTTCCTGTAATTCCCAGTCTGGTCACTGATGGACAAAGGTGGCTGGGTATGTGGTTGTTTTCCAGCTTGTATTAAGAGTCATGATGCAGAGAGCACAGAGGCACATCTCGAAAGGAACTAGCGTGGTTGCAGAAGAATCTGGAGTGAGCACACAGTAGTTGGCATAAATGAGATCATATGTTTGGAAGTTGTTAGTTAACTCTGAAATGCTGACTCCGTGTAGTGACAGTACAACCCTGTCTATGAGTGTGTGCTCTTCTTTAGTCATTGAAGATCTTCTGGATTCTCTTCTAGCTCAAGCCCTAACCCATATGTGCTGTAAGAAGATTTAGGATCAAATAACAATGATTTAATATACTTCATTCTTGCTGTTTAAATACTAAGAAGTCATTGAGAAGACTCATTGTTATGGTAACCAGTAATTCATAAACTCCTTGCACCTGTTATGATATGGAAACTATGTCTTTATGCGTATGGTTTAACATTGATGGAATTAAAGATGTGGGATTAAAAAAAGTTTATATTTAATTATAGAATTTTAAAAGATAATATATAAAAAATTACCAAAAGCAAAAGAAATACAGAAACCCGTGATCCTACCACCCAAATTTAATAGATGTTAATATTTGCCTTACTTGCTTTCGTCTTCTGTATTATGTTTGTAAAGCAATAGAACACCCTATATAGCGAAGGCAATCTTGTTCTTTGACTCTCTTTTGCTCTCTTTGTAGGTGAGCACAATTCTGTGTCAGGGCTGTATATTAAAAACATATATTTTTATTACAGGTGTATGCATCCATAAACATCCATGTTTTTAATGTTGCACTCACTAAAACAAAAATATAAAACTATTGCAGTTCTTCACATGGTTATCCACATGGAAACCTGCAGTAATTTTATTATCTTTTATTTTATTCAGTATGACATAAAACATATATAAAATATATTGTTTGGCATAACTTTCTGCCTGAGTAACATAAATTGAAGTGGGTTTTAAGTGTTTTTGACTGTAATCTTCAGGATGTTATATGTTTTACATTGTGACCTAATGCATATATACAACTGTGTGTGTGTGTGTGTGTGTGTGTGTGTGTGTGTCTGTATGTGTGAGTTTTGTGTGAGTAATATCTCCTTTCACTCTGTTCTGACGTTCTGGTTTGCCTGGAGTCCCAGAAGGCCGTCATGGTGTCAGGCAAGGAAGGAGCTCTTGCTGGCTCAGACACTGACTTCCAACCTTGTCACCAATAAACTATACATAGCCTTGATATCTCTTTTCTTCTTCTGGCCCTCATTTTCCTCACCTGTGAATTGCAAGAGTTAATTAGCTCATCTTGAAAGCACTTTCATTCTGTGAAAAGTAGGGTAACTAGGAGCTGGGCCACAAGTTGTTAGAACTTGCTGAGGATATATCAGATGTACAACAACAGGACTTTACTGGAATTGCAAGGAGTAAGCAGGCCATATATTGTTTAAATGGTTCTTGGGCAGAAACGATTCCTCCAGTTGTAAACCCATTTCAGAGTAACCTTAATGTCTCTAAGATCTACCTACTTTTTTATTGAGTTATTTTTCAGGGCTATATGAATGTATATGTGAGCATATGTAAGTGCTAAGAATGACAGAGGAGTGTTTCTTTATTCCCTTTCAGTTAAATGTCTTCATAGGCAAATTCAAAGCTGCAGAAAGACATCTATAACCTCTGGTAACCTTATGGCATAGTTTCATGAGTCCTACAGGTTATAGTAGTTTGTGGCTTTGGGGAATTTTCCTTTTAAATGTGAGTTACATGTTTGAAATAGAGTAAGACTATATCACCTAAATTACATGTCCTTCAAACAAACAAAAGGCACGTTTCATGATAAGAGCCATTCAGGAGTAGGTGGACCTTGGAGACCATCTCTTTCCATTTGTTCCTAAAAAGACAGGCCAGCGAATGTTCTTGCCTAGACTGCAAATCCAGGGGACAGTAGGGGGAGATTCCTGTATCCTCAAGGTTCCCGTTTTCTTTTGGTATGCAGATTCTTTTTAGGAAGCTCTACATTTACAGAGACCTAGAGGAGCCAGTTCAAACGTATGTCTGAGGGTGCGGACCCATTAAAGAAATGATTATCTTGAAGTAGAGATCTGTTCCTACCTGAGGGACTAATAAAGGTGTGTTTTTCCATAGAGACAGCTGGATAGATGTAAGTCTCTGGGAGAGGATCCCCTCAACCCTAGATGGTTGAGGCAAAGGCTAGATTTCTTTTAACTCCTCTCTCCATGCGAGAACTCAGCTTTTTCTTAGCTACAGTATGCAGAACGTTCTTGTCTCTTGTTTTATGGCAACAATACTTACCCTCTGTTTACAGATGTGGATTAGAATTTCTGGACCTGTAGGGCACCTGGGTGGCTCAGTTACTTGAGTGTCCGATTTTGGCTCAGGTCACGATCTCGCAGTTTGTAAATTCGAGCCCCACATCAGGCTTGCTGCTGTCAGCCTGTCAGCACAGAGCCCACTTTGGACCCTCTACTTGCACTCTCCCATTAATAAATTAAAAAAATAAAAGAATTTCTGGACTTATGGGTTCTGATTCTGTGGTTAATATCCTTAGGCCAGAGACCAGAGCTAACCATTACTGTGTGATATACCCTGTGCTTGGCACTGAGCAGGTATTGTGGATTTTTGTGAATGAAGACTTTATACTAACTAGTCACTGTTTTACATTGCATGTTATAAAACTGATTGTCCTGAAATAGTCGAATTGATTTTTGAAGCAAACAAAATTCTTTTTGTAACCTATTAAAATACTGCCGTTGAACCTTCTTGTCTGCTTTTCCTCCCTTCATCCTCTGCAGTGTGCCGAGATTTTGCTGTGCTGGAGGACCACACCCTGGCCCACAGCCTGCAGGAACAAGAGAGTGAGTAATGGCCCTCCCTGTGTTCCGCCTGCTGTCTTTTTTAGTGGTAGCTTGAGGCAGGTTTCTTAGGGTGAGGCAGGGAGAGAACCCAGTCACCAGGCCTCACCTTCCATCGGCCCCGAGGGATTTATCGAGCAAATGCCACCTGGGTGGAGGGTGAAGTTCTGGGTGTTTTGAGGTATGACAGCTGCCAGGGATTAGGAGACTTTGGGTCTATGGGGAAAAGTGAGCTTTAGTGTTATAGGAGGGAGACACTGTCTGGCCTCCATTCCCTCCCCTAGAAGAGGGGCTGAATGTCTTTGCAGGCATTGGAGGTATCTGGAGTGTAGCTTTTTCTCAATATTTATGTATGTAATTATGGAAACTAAACCCAAGTTATATGTGTTACACAGAGGCACGTATTTACGAATATGTAATTTGTGAATCATTAATTCATGTGTCAGTATAAAAATTAAGTATTGAAAATGTTTATAAATAGAGTGACAGCTTGTGGAGCAGAAGGAGCCCTGGCCTTGACTTTTAGAGTATTGGTGTAGAAATCCTGTCACTGCCTCTGTTTTGCCTTGTGACCAAGGGCAAGTTACTTCACTTTTCTGAGTCTCATTTTACTTAATGGAAAGAAGAAGAATCCCTTTGCTGCCTGTTATATAGCATTATTGAGAGCATAAAATGAAGTCATGGACCTGAAGTTTTTAATGGAAAAACTCTCCTTAAGTTATCCTGAGATGTATTATAAACAAGATGAAACATTGCGATTCCTCCCTTCAATCTCTCTGTCCAGTTGAGCATCATTTGGCATCGAATATTCAGCGGAACCGTTTGGTCCAGCATGATCTCCAGGTGGCTAAGCAGCTTCAGGAGGAAGATCTGAAAGCTCAGGCTCAGCTCCAGAAGCGCTACAAAGACCTGTGAGGATTTGGGGGGCAAGGGTGGGGGGAGGCATGCGGGGCTGGTTTTCTCAGCAGCCAGGCAAGGGAGAAGACTGTGTGTCTGTCCCTCTTATGCCTGTCACTGTTAGATTACAAATCCTGTAGTGGCTAGACTACAGTTTTCTTTGTGTTGAAATTTTTATTGTTGTTGGAATACTTTATAGGTTTGGGGACATGTAGATTCTGGAATGAATTCTAAACATGTTTAACTGTAGGACTTTAACCATTTCGATCCACCTCTCTGAGTCTGTATTCCTTCCCTATAGCACATGGGAAATAATCTCTGTTCCCTTTGCCTCATAGGTTGCTTGGGGGACCCAGGAAAATACTGGATATCAGAGAAAGTTATGAGCTGCATTGGGTTCCTTTACTCTTTTGTGGTTGGTGTTTGCTGCTCCTATTTTCCTTGAACCTCTTTGCTTTCCAGGGAGAGGCAGAATCTTCTGGAAAGCTCTGAAGTATACACTGTTCTCTTTCTAACTTCAGCATCTGACAAATGTTCCTTCCTCAGTCTCCTCCTTTAATAGTTCGGTAAATGGAAGGATCATATCCAGGATCTCTTCCAGCACAATGACTTACTTTTTTCCACTGTTTTAAAAGCTCACAGGGTGCATTTCTTATTTGAGAGTGACCCCTGTGCCTGAATCTCAAATGGTAGATTTAATAACAAGGTATAATTTTGAGGGGAAAGGGTAAAGGAAGTAGTAAAAGGTCCCCACAGTTACTCTGGTTCTTGTTCAGATAAACAGGAAAGCCTGTTATTTTTGCTGTCTTTGTGGAAGGGTTTGCCCTTCTGTTTTATTATTTGTAGAGAACTTTAGTCATCATTTTGTTCAGCTTCCTTATTTTGTAAATAAACACTCTTATTAAGACGCTTACTATACCTGTCACCATGGAAGGCACTGGAGACCACAGATAGGATTAAAATATAGCCGTTGCCTTTAAGGGCCTCAGAATAAAACTGAGCATTTTAAATCTACAGATACATGTGTAAGCCACAGATAATTAATACATTTAATGCCTATGAAGAAAGGAGAGACTGAGAAAACCATTCCAACACACGTGATATATTTAATCTGAACCTTGATGGTTCATTAGAAGTTCCTAGTGACAACAGGAGGAAACTGTTCTAGCCAGAGTAGCAGGGAAGGTAAGAGGTTGACGTACCTGGAATTTCATGGTAGCTACAAGGTACTCAGTATTGCTGGAGTGTAGGGTGTGATTACGGGCATGGGCTGGGGATGAGGCCAGAAAAGTAGTCAAAAACTAGACCAAAAGTTATGTTTTTAGGAGTTTAGATTTTATAGATATTATAAACAACAGAGAACCATTGAAAGAGTTTTGGATTTTCAGTTTGGGCCCTACTCTAGGGGCTGGATAGGTAAAGGATTGTAGGGGGCACGACTGAAGACAGCTTTGGGCAGTGGTCAAATTAAGAGATGACAAAGTTTGATTTGATGGTAATGCTAATGGAGTAAGAAGAGAGAGACATTTGAGATGTGTGGAGGTTCTCTGGTTAATGCAACTCTGGTTAAGATGAGAGCCAGAGAGGTGCCTGGGTGGCTCAGTCAGTTAATCCTCCAGCTCTTGATTTCAGTTCAAGTAGGTCATGATCTCACAGGTTTGTAAATTTGAGCCCCAGGTCAGCCTCTGCACTGACAATGTGGAGCCTGCTTGGGATTCTCTCTCCCTTGCCCCCCCTCCCCCGCCTCCTCTGTCCCTCCTCTGTTCTCTCTGTCTCTCTCAAAATAAAGAAATAAGTTTAAACAAAACAAAACAAAAAGATAAGAGTCAGAGCTAGAATATTCTAGAGTTCTAAATCATTGCCTATTACGTGAATCACAGTACTTTGCTATGAAGGGCAGTTCTGAGGCTGGTGCAGAAGCTTAAGACCCTGAATTAGGGTAATGAGAGTATAATGAGATTATTCAGAGATTATTGAGATAAAACACTAAATATAAATGAGGATTTGGAGAGTAAGGAATTATAGATCTTAGAGGAGAGCCAGGTATTCTCTTTCTGCCTGGGACTCCAGGCTTTTGGAGGTATTCTTAGCTGAAATAGGTCGTTAGAAGGGAAGTTTCTGATTGTCACACCCGAGCAGTTTTGACAGTTGCACCTCACTGGTTGGATGAAATGCTGTGAATATTAATGAACTGGAAGCTCTCACTCACTCTGCATCCTGGGGCCGCTGTCCAGTGTCAGGCTTACCAATTGTTGACTACGCCTTTCTCATGTGATTTTGCTTCCTTGGGATTTTGTGTAACTGGGGGAGTGAACTCGATCTGGTCTTTCATGAATATATGTTTGGAAGTGATTAAGCTCAGCTTAAACCTCACGTCTTTATTTTCTATACTAGGGAGGACATGTGTCACTTGTGACCTTTAACATCTCATTTGGATTTGCCTTTTCTGCTGGGCTTCTGCTTTTTCCCATCTATTATTATCTTGCATGTAATTAATAGTTGCTAACTCTTGTACAGATTTTACCTGAGTTTGGGAGATCCAATTAGAGAAGCCTTTGAAAACTAGGAATATGGTTTTGCATATGACTCTTAATTATTAGAAGTAAGTGAATAAAAAGAGGATCTATAAATAAAAATTGTTCTAAGTAGGTATTTGTTTGTTTTCAGTTCTTTGGCTTGAGTGGTTAAGAGTTCTAAAATATTAGACCTAAAGGATGAAGTCATTGAGTCCAAATACTTTTACAGCTGATAGGTTGACACGAGAGGGCACGGCTCACTGACTGTCAGTGGCAGGACCAGAAATCAGGTCTGCAGCCACCGTATCCAGTGCTTTTCCTGCTGATTGTAAGAGAGCCTTGCCGTCCCTTACCTGTGCTGTCTTACTTTCTCTTCCTTACTTTCTGTCTTGTACCTGCATAACCCATGCGTACATGACCGCATCTGTGCGCACCTCTCCTTCCACCTACATCTGCCTGTCTCCAAGCGTGTTGAAAGTGACCATTTCTGTCCCAGAAATTAGGATAATTTCTGTCCTCTCTGTTTTGTTGGAGTAGAGTGTATGGGCTTTAATTCCTTCATCGCAGCTCGGACCGTTGCCCTCCCCAACACTTTCCGGTTACAAAATGCTGTTTGTTAAACATGGAGTAGCCAACCCCGAATGAGATTGACTGAGAATTTTAAGTTCGCTTGGCAGGGAGAGAATGAGAGGGAGAGTGAGAACGTTTAGCAAGCAAATTGCCCCTGTAAGTCACAGCTGTAATTTCATTCCAACCTCTTCTTAAATCGTATGTGTATGGTCCTCCTTCCTAGCTGACGGTTGTGTCTCAAGGTTGGCTCTCCAGAGCTCTCGGGTTCTGGACTGTGAAGCTGCCCATTGACTTTTCTTGAAACCTGAATCTAGAGGACGTGCACTTGTACCCATCTCTGAGAGATCCAAATCCTCTTTTCTGTTTAAACTGCTGTTTAGAGGTGCTCTTCTAGAGGATCTATTTCTCCCACCAAAATCATTCTCTTGGTTCTTCTCCCAAAAAAGGACTGTGAGCCTTGAGTGCAGAGTGAAGATTTACCCATGTTTGTATCCTCAGTGTCTGAGTGTCGTGCTGGGACCATAGCAGGTGTTAAACTTAAGTCCCTGTTCAGTGCGTGAGTGCCAAAACAAAGCACACTATGATAGCAGCAGTACTGTAGCCTTTGGTTTTCTCAGGAACCTGAGTTTTAAGAAAACTGGCACCAGCCAGAGAGGTTTCTACTGGGAACTGAAGCTGTGGAGTATTTTAAGTATAAGTGAAACTGAAAGATACATTTAATTTAAACACTCACAAAAATAATTTTAAAGTCATACCACCACTTCTGGGAGACCACGGTGACATTTAGTGATCTGGATATTTGTGGATATTAATCTCATAGTTTACGTCTCCTTTGCACACTCTTGAGAAAGCATTCCTGTCTGTAGAGTGGCCCCAGTATGGCGAGGTGATAAGGGAACGTAGAAAAGGCGCAGGACTTCCCACTGTAGTGTCTGCGGATCAGATTCTGGTTCTGCCACTCATGTTCTCTGTGATCTTAGGGAAATGCTGTCACTACTCTGGGCCCCAGCTTTTTAATCTGTGACATGTCATAATATCAACCTCTTTGCATCATTATCGTGAGGACTAAGTAGATAAAGATGTGCACAGGCTCATAGTGTGCAGTAAATTGTATTACTCTTTAGGAAGATTCATTACTTATTTCCTTTATTCATACTACTTTCACCTTTGTTTTTTAGTGAACAACAAGACTGTGAAATTGCTCAGGAAATCCAGGAGAAGCTGGCTATTGAGGCTGAGAGACGACGCATTCAGGAGAAGAAAGATGAGGTACAACTGAGCTGATGTTCCTCCGCCCTAGGCCTGAGAAAGAGCTGCCTGATGTATTCACGGGCTCCGTGCAGGGTTGCTGGATGGGCAGCAGACCTCTCCTCTTTCGGGGTTAAGCATTGCCCTCCGTGGGCCACTGTTTATTGCCCCTTGATGACCTAAGTGAACTCTTAAAAGATTATGGTAATTCAACATAAGAGGTGAATTAGGTTCCTAGGGCTGCTTTAACAATTACTACAAACTTGGTGGTCTAGAACAACAGGAGTAGATTCTCTCACAGTTCGGGAGGCCAGGAATCCGAATTCCAGGTTTTGGTGGGCCCCTGCTGCCTGTTGGGAAAGATGCTTCTTTGTCTCTCCCTAGCTTCTGCTGGCTCCTGACCATCATTGGCATTTCTCAGAGTGTCACTGCATCACTTCAGTCTCTGCCTCTGTTGTCTGATGGCCTTTTTCCCGTGTCTTTGTGTTTCTTCTCTTCTTAAAAGGGAACTAGTCATTGGATCGGGGACCCACCCTAGTCTAGTATGATTTTCTCTTAACTCATTACATCTGTAAAGACCCTATTCCTGAATAAGGTCATATTCTGAGGTTCTTGGGAGAAGTTACTTTTTAGGGGACACTGTTCAAACCAGTACAGGGTGTTTGTCTGGGGGTTATTCCTGCAGTCTTGAGAGAGGGAGAGCAGACCTGCATGTAGTCTGAACACGAGTCCGGGGTATTGTCGTGAGAGGCCGGGGGCCACCATTGTTCCCACTCTGCTGTCCGTGGCTTCACTCTCCTGTGACGCGCTGCCTCCAGGAACTAATCAGTCTAATTCTGTATATGTTTTTAAATTGTATTGTTTTTAAAGTTCAAAATGACTAAAAGTAGCAGTAGTGTTTAGTTGGTGAGAAGACTTGAATTTGCATCTATTACCTGCCTTTGTTTTACACTTTCAGCCTTTCTTACAAACAGTTCCTTTTCAGCGTGTGTTGATTCTTTGCCTTCTTTCAAACCAGCTGTGCTGTTCTTGGCCATAGACTGAAGAAAACGGTTAGAATTTTAACAGTAGGATGACCATACGATTTGTTGTATGTATACTCAAATACTCTTCTAGGTTCAAGGGGGTGACTGCTAATAATGATGTGAGCCGGGCCTATCTTGGGTAAGCCAGCACACGTGATCACCCTGTTAGACAGATGGGGTGCAGGCCGTCAGCCAACAGCCTGCGTGCACTGCTGCTCCCACGGAACCATTCCTGTCCCTCTAAGACTCCTTGTTCAGTGCCAGGTGAGCGGGAGACACCTGCCGTGTGTGTGTGTGTTCAGCTGTTTCCTTAAGAAACAAACCATGATCCTATGATCATCAGAACTGCAAGTCAGAGTTAGGAATTGCTCTCTGTCCTTCCTGTTAGCAACACAGGAACTCTTTCTTACTGCAGGATGTGTTGCCCTGTGTAGTCAAGACTTTGCTTTGGGGATGAAACTGGGAACTGAAAGAAGTGATTATATTTTCTAAACAGGAAAGCTTCTATTTAAAAAAATAACAGAGTAATGAAGTTGGCTTCTTATAAATGCTAGTGGTGTCCTGTGATTTATTCCCCCCCCCCCCCAATTTGGGGAAAACAGGATAGAAAGAGAAACCAAAACACTTTATTTAGGCGTGTAGAATCTAAACAGTAATCACAGTAAATAGTCTCGTGGTAATACTGTATAAAGTAAGCAGTGTAGTGATTGACTCTTTTTCAGATGAAGAAATTAGGACTTAAGGAAGTCAGTGACTGGTCCCCTGCTATAATAAGATGCCTAAGAAATGTCTGTACGGTTCAGGTCCCCTGACTGACTGCTCCTGACACGGATGTCCTGTGTCACAACAGAAAGCATGGAGATTTTCCAGTTAGGCTTCCTTTGAGTTTGAATCTTAGCTCTTTAACTTCTAGCTGGGACTTGCAGCATCTTACTTAACCACATAGAACTTTAGGTTCCAAGATGGACAAGTCACGATAATTGCACATACCCTAGAGGGCTGTCGTGAGGTTTAAATGCCTTTGGTACATACTAACTTCTTACATATTAAGTTAATTTCTTTCCTTTTGGCTTTCTTGCCAAGTGTTTCCCAACGATTCTGCCCTTTATAAGAGCTCTGATTTCTGTTATAGAAGGAGATGTGTACTAAATTAGAAAGGGAGGAAAAAAAACTGGCTTAAAGTGTATTCCAGTCCTGTGTGATCTGAGCCGTCTTCAAGTGTTTCCTTGCATTTATGCATCTCCCTACCTTGCCCTCTGCTCTTGTTTGACCTACAAAAATGGTCCCATTCCCTAGTGCCGTGAGAGATTGAATCAGAAATCCAGTTGCGGAGATTTAGTGAAACCAGCCTTAAAAACTCTATTCAGACTCTGACTTTTCAGCTGATGCCTTAGATCAGAATATGCCTACCATGTGGAGAGGTTTTCTTATCAAAAAATACTGCTCTCAGCTGACTTGTATGTTATTAATATTAAATGCACATAATTTGCATGAGTAAAGTTTGTCATTGAAGAATGTATGATAATACATATTGTTTATTTTAGTCCATGGTGCCTCACAGAGGACACTGAGATGAGATAATAGTGGGAATTTTTCTGGCCAACTTTTAAAAAATGAAAAAAATTTTTTTTAACATTCATTTTTGAGGGGCAGAGAGACAGAGGGAGACACAGAATCCAAAGCAGGCTCCAGGCTCTGAGCTGTCAGCACAGACCAAGAACCGTGAGATGATGACCTGAGCTGGAGTCAGATCCTTAACCTACTGAGCCACCCGGGCACCCCTTCTGGCCAACTTCTGAAAAAAACATTGCCTGTTACTCATAAACTGTCCTAATTCTTTTTTTTTTTTTTCCCCTCCTCATTCTATGCTCTTCTATTTCCTTATGGAGTCTGCTTAGCTAGTATGTTCTTATTGGACAGCAGGGCTGTGGAAAGTTCCTCTCTGGATTTTCACCCAGATTTCTTTCAGAGATTTTTGGGGTCAACTCTTCTTTGGTTGTTTCTAACTCTCCAAACAACAGAATCCAAGGCTTCTTTCCTATTGGGGCAGAGTATTTTTCCTGAACAACATTGTACATGAGGAGTAGAGTTATACAACTCTGTGTGGGTGAAATAGGATTTCTAACTTTGTTATGGAATAATTTTATTGTGCTTTTTAACAGAGCACAGATGTAAGGAAAGTAATATTTCCATGTGGGAAGACAGATGTAGAAAAGTTAATAACAACAACAAGAAAGTTTAAAGAAAGAGAGAAAGATCTTTAAGAGTCTTACCAGCATTGTAGCCTTTCCCCTCCCACCCCTTCCCATTCCTCTCGCCCTCCTTCTCCTTTCTTCTTCTTTGTTCTTTTATTCTTCTATTCTCCCTTCCTCCTTCCCTCCCTTCATTCCTTTCTTCCTTTTTAAAAACAAATTTTTTATATAGTGTGACTAGAGTAGTTGCATTTCTCTCTAGGCCTCTGTTGAAGAAAGGGTTGTAGCCTTTGGAAATTACTGGACTGTGTGAGTTTGCAACTAATTAAAGTGGGCTAATTCCATTGGAATCATTTTCTTTGGCCATAACATAAGCATTTGTCAGTGTTATTTAATAAGGCTAAGGAATGTGTGCTTAGTTGATTTAACTTGTTTTTAAATTAAATTCTTAAGTGTGTGTGTGTATGTGAATATCTATAGATATATGTGTGTCTTTGAACTTAGGTCCAAATATATGTGAATGTGTAACTATGTTAGGGCAAAACTTCTTATTTTTTTCCTCTTAAGTAAACATTAGCCTGACCATGTTATGAAAAGTCTGTGGCACTAGTTCAACAGTTTGAAGCCATTTATAATATGAGCTGTTTAGGGATAAACTTAGTAACATTTACATTAAAACTTAATCTGTGAACCATGGTACTTTTTCATAACATTCTTAAAGTGATTAGAATTTCACCTTCTAAAAGAGTATTTATATAAGTTGGTAATATTTAGAGCATAGCTCAAACAGCAGTACATTTAGCTACTAAAAAATTTCCTGTGTTTTGGCATTTTAAAAATAAGATTATGCATGTGCGACCAGAAAGGGGGAATGAGTGGAAGGTTCCTGGTTGAGAAAATTCTTCTTCTTATGTTAATCATATTGATTTTTTTTTTTGCATCTATAGAATTGATATGTTGTTTTCTGGTCTTATATTCCTCTGGAGATTGTACCTGTTGAGAGTTCCCTACTGAATTAGACGTTAATTGCTAGCTGAGAAAGAAGTGGAGTAGTCTAATGGAATGGAAAAAAAGTAGTCTTCTTTTTTTCCTCTCTGATAGTCATCTGACAGTCACATTTTTAGATTTCCTTGAATTTATGCCGAAGATTTCCTCATTTTGAAACCAACTACCATTGAGGAATAGAAGTGGAAACCTTAAGGGAGAAGGAATCCTGATATAAAATCATAGAAACCAAAAAAGTAGCATAAGGAATTCAACATAATAGTTTAATAATTCGTCATGTGCTTGGGAAAGATGTGCTAAGCTCCTCTGGGCTGCATTGCACCTTGTTTGTGACAGTGCCTCTCTTAGAGCACTTGCCTTTCAAAGGATCTTAAATTATGCTAATCATTTTGCTCCTAAACTTAATAGGTCAGACTTTGAGGATATGGGTCATATATCCTGTCTCTCTGCAGGTCTCTAGGAGAATGTTTGGTCCCTCGAAGACAATCAGTAAATCTATTTTTATTAAAATTACTTTTCTCTAGAGATCTAGAGATCTTTAACTGTGTTTTGTCTTATGCTCATTGTTTCGGATTTTCAGGAGGTGGGTAGGCTTTAATGACAGAAAAGAGATGAAATATAATGGTGAATTTTCATTCAAATGTATTTAGCAGAAAGTCTTCTAATTATGGAAGGTTTTTTTTTTTACATATTAATCCAAAGTAAGCCTACCTGATTAATATGATTAATTAAAAAATAATTGAAAACGACTTCAGAAGGGCTTATGAGTTATTTTAGATTTGCTTTCTCAAATTATACTTTATGAAACAGTAATTCCAAATGCAAAGAGTGGTACTAATTCATTTAAGCAGAAATAAGATTTGCCTCCTTCATACTCATTGACATTTTTACTCTTTTATTGAGGCATTTATGATTTGATTATATTTTAGTTATTTGCATAAACCTTTGTTGTCAGAGGCTCATGGTAATCTTTTAGGGGACAGGGTCAGAATGTTATCCTTCACTCAGTAACTGGGGAAACTTGCCTGGCTATGAAGCAAGGGGGAGATAGGTGGGAGACTGTTGTGTCTTTGGCAGTGGTGTTCTAATAATGCAGAGGGAAATCAGGATCAGCCGAAGAATTCTTTTACAAAGTTTCAAAATTATGTATACAATTTTAATGTTTTATAGACTACTCCACTCTTCTCCATTCAGGCTTACTGAATCATCATCTTGGAAAAAGGGCCTACAAATAACGAATTTTAAAAATTCTGTTGTATAACTAGCTGTAGGAATACTACTAGGTTTGTAGGTCCCAGATTAAGTTAGATTTAAATTTAATTTAACAAAAACGTCTTTCTTTTTTTTTTTTTTTAAAAATGTTTTATTTCTTTTAGGAGAGAGAGAGAGAGACAGCGTGAGGAGGGGAGGGTCAGAGAGAGAGGGAGTCACAGACTGAAACAGGCTCCAGGCTCTGAGCTGGCAGTCAGCACAGAGNGAGAGAGAGAGACAGCGTGAGGAGGGGAGGGTCAGAGAGAGAGGGAGTCACAGACTGAAACAGGCTCCAGGCTCTGAGCTGGCAGTCAGCACAGAGCCCGACGCAGGGCTCGAACCCACGAACCGCGAGATCATGACCTAAGGGAAAGTCGGACGTTCAACCAACTAAGCCACCCAGGCGCCCCCAAAAACGTCTTTCTTATTCATCTGGATCATGTGCTACTCCATTGAGCATTTGAATAGCATGAACTTAATGTCATGAAGTCTGGAAAGCTGTGGACGGAGCCCACAGAAGCTTAGCAGTAGAGTGTCAAACCATTGACATTAGGGCCACTGGATGGAGTTTGTTTCATTGTAAAAGGTTTATTTGTTCTCTGGTGATATTTATTAGCATTCTCTCTTTATGTGCAGGACATAGCTCGCCTTTTGCAAGAAAAGGAGTTACAGGAAGAGAAAAAGCGAAAGAAACACTTTCCAGAGTCCTCTGGATCCAGTGCTTATGGAGATAGTTACTACTATGAAAATGGAGGTAACAATGGCTACATTATGACTTCCTTTATCCTTAGACTCAGCCATAAGACACCCCTTTAAATTTGTCTGTAAAGTGACCTCAGGATCCATATGGATTTGTGACCAAATTCTCTGTGAATGTAATGAATTTATCTGGTCCTTAGTTGGATGACCAGAGCCATATTCATGGCTGTTAAAACAGCTGTCGTTTTGTAAGATTTGGCATGCATTCTTGCGTGCTGCAGCCACTTGGAATGCTGTACTACATTCTAAGCACATAAGCTGAGGTGTAGAAAATGGGGGGTGATCTTTCTCAAGCAAGTTTGGGCAGGATGTCCAGAGCCGCAAAGTGCCATAAACAGTGAAGATGGTACACCACACCTCAGCGGGGTAACAAAGCTCTTGCATTTTAAACACAGGCCGATGAGTATGTATGCTGATGACAAAATTAAATTTTAAGATTGTGTGTTCATTATTTGTCCTTGCTATTTTGCCATCTTGCTATTTTATTACCATAAAGAAAAATTCCTGAGGGTGAGAAGTCCCTTCAGAATTTCTCTTCTCTAGTGCCTGCCTTTGCAGTGCGGTGCTGGTGATGGCTTTGTGGTGGCGGTGGTGCTGCTGGTGATTCTTTATCTTACTAGTGTGTTGGGAAACGAGTATTTGCAAGTATTGTCCCGTCCTGTTTAAAGATCTGTCCAAGGAAAGACATTTCCTCTAATTCTAGCATCAGTATTGATTGTAGTTCAGCTGATAGACCATACTTAGGATAATAAGTTAGGAAAACCTAAAGCAGATTCTAGAGAGTAAAGATATTAAGGTCCATGTTCCCAAAGGCTCTTGTGAATTATCAATTACTTCTCTGTAATTTCATTATAAAAGGTAAGTAAGTGTTTGTGTTTGATGAGTGGAATGAAAGGAACACATGTGTAGATGTTAGGATTATTACAGTGAGTATGGTCTTGCCCAGTCACGTTGTTCTAATTTTGTTATCAATAGAGCTCAGCTCTGTGGTGTAGTTAGTAGGCACGTTGATTCTCTCTCCATTGCATGATATGCTCTTCTTCCATAAGTAAAGTGCTCAGCTCTTTTTTGATAACCATTTTCATTATGCTTGTTTTTCTAATGAAATCATGTATCACATCATTTAAAAAGAAAAAAAAACCCCAGCATTGCTATGTTCTGTGCTGGAGGCCAGAATGTAAAGAGTTTATTCTTCAGATTCAATTTTAAACCTTGTAAGTGTGCTCTGGTGTTTTTTTCTTTGTCTTTATTTTTAAATCTGCTCTGGAATCCTGTTCACTGCAAATAAAAGTCACTATTTAACTATTAAGTCAAGAAAAACATTAGGATGGCAAGTAATTAAGTATACTAAAGTATTAAATTTAGCCTCTTTCTGTTAAAACCTTACACTAATTTGAATTGAGACTCAAATCTGGTTGTTTTGACCAGAGTGCTGTCATCTTTGAGGGCAGGAGACTGTCTGTGTTAAGAATTCAGTGGTTTTTCAGGAACATCTACAAGTTAAAAAAAATCATAAAATTGTGACTTCCTGAGCCATATGTTTGTAAATATTGGAATTCCTTTATAGTTGTTTTGTTGTTGAAAGTTTATATGTTGCTGAACATGTGTGATCCTCATTCATTTGAGATAGACCGAGTGGAGTTCCACAGAAACCACATCATAAGTCAGCTCATATGCTCAAAGTAATTCTTAGGTTCTTTGCAGTTGTCTTTTCCCAACACATAAGGATATTCTTTAAGTGTACTTCTCAGTCTTTATGTGTGCTTTGATTTTTGCCTTACTTATGTAATAATTACAGTAGATCATTATGGAAGGGGTCTTCTTTTCAGCTTTGATTTTGCTTAAGCGTAAATCTTAAAAATGATCTTTTATAGATTTCCTACAAACCTGAAATTATCTAAAACATCTGTCAGATTATTATCAGCTGAAATCGTATGTCTTATTCATTTATGAATCCATGTTTTTCTTTCAAAGCCACTGACCTGTATTACAGGCATATTAGTCTTTTTTTTTTTTAAGTCATAGTCTTTGGAGTCATAAGACCTTGATTCAAGTTCCATTCCTTCCTTAGAACATTTGTAATGTTGAGAAATTATCTACTGTAATCATGTTAAAGCCTTTCTCTCATCTAGAAAATGGAGATTTTAAAAATACATCCTTCACATGGTTGTTGAAAAGATCAAGTAATGTAATTTTGGTGAGGACCTAAACTCCAAAGTATTGTTGTTCATACATATATCAGTGTTATGTGTGTATGACAGGATCTTGAATATCCAAACAGAAATCATCTTATTTTGAAAGACAAACATGGAAGCACACAAATAAAATGTGTGCATATATATATACACACATAGGTGTGTGTGTATATCTACATACATGTGTGTGTGTATATACATATATATGTGTGTGTATATATAAATGCATATGCATTGGCTGTAGGTAAGTTAATTATATTTGCCAAATAACTTGTTCACAAGAAAAATACAAGTCTCAGTCCCCATTGCAGTTTTTTTCTTTCCCAGGTTTGAAGATAACACAAGTGAAGTAGACAATAGATACTTTTTCCTGTCAGCTCTATGAAAATATAGTGACAGCTCTATTCTAACCCCTGCAACACACTTAACTAAAGTAAAACTGATTATCAGCTAACTTTTTAGAAATAATTAAAATCACCACAGACAGAACAATCATAGCCTCACATCCTTGTCAGATACAGAACCCTTCTTGTTTTTTGTGGGCTAGAAGGCAGACTTCATTCATGCACCTCTTTATGAGGACATTGGTATTAACACTAAGCCATTGTTCCTTGGATGCAGTTATCATTTAAGTAGCTAGCTAATATTATATTAATAATTCATAGCAGTAGTCAATTGATTCTCAGTTGTCAAGACACACTTAAAATAATAGTTTGGTAACATAATAGAGACTTTTTTTTTTATCATAGAGAGTAATTGTTCTATTTCACTTTTGCTTTTATGTAAAAAGTAAAAAATTCTTCATATGATTTTAGAAAACAGACCTTAATTTAGATATCACCTTTTAAGCAAATTTCCTTTTTGTCTGGAAAGCTCAAGAGGAAACAATTTGAAGTTTTTGAGAAGCTTTATGGCATCAGTGGTACATTTAGCACAGATGTCCTCTTTCTCAGTTCCTTTATTAGATTAACAATAACAAACCTAACAAAAACATGAAACAAAAACTCTAAAAACTGAGAAAATGTATAGTCCTTTATTTCCTCTACATCCCATCACATTGGGGTAGCTGTTTCAGGTGCAATTCAGCACATGAGTAATTTCAGTAGGGAGCAAACGTTAGATAACTTAATAGTTTTCTTAGAATTAGGATTTTTTTTTCTTTATTTATTTTGAGAGAGCACAAGAGGAAGAGAGAGAGACAGAGAAAGAGAGAGAGAGAGAGAGGGAGAGAATTCCAAGCAGGCTCCACACTGTCAGTGAAGAGCTCAATTTAGGATTTGAATTCACAAACCATGAGATCATGACCTAAGCCAAAATCAAGAGTTGGATGCCTAACTGACCAAGCCACTCAGGCGCCCCATGATTTCTTTTTAATACAGAATGTACTAAGGGTCTTAGAAAATGTTAAATATGCCCTGCAAGGAGCTTCCTTCATTTTCACAGTAGTCTTGTGCCTGAATGAGACTATACAAAGCACTCCTCTATATGCTGTTACTGAAATTTATGTTGCATTTGGGACTTATATATTTAGCACATTCTGTATTTTTATACAAAGGATACAGCATCGGAAAGTTTTTTGAAATGAATGTAGGGCTGGAAGGGGCTCCTTTTCCTGTAATCTTTTATGGCATCTCTTTTTAATTTTTCACTCTGCAAAATTTAAGTAAGTTTGGGCGCAGAGTTATACCTGAAGATAACAGGGTCATTTATTCACTTAAAATTCTCTACTCCTTCCCCTTCCACATTGAACTGCATGGCTGGGAATGCTTGTTTTGGCCATCTCAGGAGAGAGAGTAGGGGAATACTAAAACCTGGGTCATTTCTCAGACCCTAAAGGAAACTAGCAACATTCTGATAGAGATTTATTGTCATTTCCAATAAGAATATTTGAAAGCCTCTTCCTGGAAAGCTTAGTTATCACAAAGCTTACTTGTTTTCTGTTTTGTGAGACTCCCTCAACCCCTACTTTCCCTCCATAGTACTTCCAAATTGATTTTATACATAGAATTTAACATGTAACAGCCTTGGTTTTTGTTATTGGCAAATATTAAAGTACTATATTAAATCTCCCTAATCATAATCAAACTCGTCTTTCAGATTTAAGATATTTCACATAAGTTTAGCCTTTTACCTTCTTGACCATTTCCCAGAATCCTTCATCTATGCATGGACCATTCCAGTAAATGCCCATTCCCTCTTTACAGTTTGTTAAGTTGAAAAAGTAATCTCCTCCATTTTAAAATACATTAAACGTGGGCCCTGTCTTTCCTGTGTGGTGAGTTCATACTCTCATTACGTTAACCTACATTTCTATTTTTCACATCCCTCCACTTCCACTCAGACCAGCCGCAGTCAAGGAGGGCAAGGGAACTGGGTTCTGGAGTCTCAAGGTCTTGTAGACTCCAAAGTGATGGAAACGCTGTGAAGCAAAGGAAACAGAAACCCCTACATCCAGCGGAGAACTCGGAAGAGCTGGAAGATTATTGTTCATCAGGGAAATGTATGTCCTCCTATAGCTCGGGCAAAGTGAGGGGCAGTCCCCAAGTTGACTCTGAGCAGCATGAAAGGAAACGGGCTGATCATGAGAGACTTTGGAGACCTCCGCTTCCCAAGATCAGTGGTGAGGTGTTTCTGAGCACTGGATTTGATGACCGGGAGGCTAAGAGTAGCCATCGAACTCGGAATTGGGAAAAATTGTCCAGACACCAAGACCGACTGTCACCCAAGTCTTCACAGAAAACAGGGCTTCCTTGCAAGGAAGCTGTGTATGGGAGGGACCATGGGCAAGGTGAGCACAGAGAAAGGAAACACAGGCCCAGGACTCCTCCCTTCTCAGAGAGTGAGAAACGGCTCCAACTCCATGACACAGGTAATAAAGGACAGTTGTGCTGAAAATCCTGGTATCACGTATATACATACAAGCAAATGTACTTAATAAGCATCTTCACCAACCCATTCTTTTACTCTCTAGTTTGTATTCATGGCTTTGAAACAAATCCTGGAGCCAAATATTGTAAAAGGTATCTACTTAGTATCAAGTGTATAGGAAGAAGAAACATATTTGTACATTTCTACTACTGCCTTCTAAGAAAAACACACCAATTCCTTACAAAGTCCTTCCAGCCCCACGCTGCAGTGGACGTGCCCATCCCAGATATAGTTCTTCATTTGCCAAGACCATACACCAGAGAGTAAGATACCAAATCACAGCTCCTATATTTCTGGGTGTAAGTCAGATCTTTTGACACCGTCTTCGTATTATTTGCCTAACTAGAAAATCAGCAAGGCTGGAATTCCTAGCTTCTCTTGATCTCCTCTTTCCCATATGTAAAGTGAGAGATCAGATAGGCATTCTCTTATAACAGCATATTTCAAATTGTGGGCTTCGGTCTACTTTTGTCAGAATCAGCCAGGCTGCTTCCTAATGATGCAGCTTTCTGGATCTCACACATATTATCATGTCTGTAGTTTCTCCTGGCAATTTGGACTCGTTTTAGACCTGAGGTGATTTTTCTGTACTTAAAGTTTGAAGATCATTTCCTTAAATTACTTTCTAGGCTCTAACCATCAACAACTCTAATGTTATAGTTGGTGTTCTGAAATGCCAGTATTGGGTAAGTTCTTGGCATTTGTTTGGGAGTAAGGTGAATATTCTGGCATGTCGGAAGCTTACCTCTGTAGTCCTTCATTGACCCAGTAATGGTTCTCTCTTTTCTTATCTGGAAACTGCTGTGTGGTGATGTTTGCCTTGTATTCTACCACTGTAAGTCATAATTAGACCATACTCCTCTCCTGGCTCTACTATACTCTCATTGAAGTTTTATGGAGATGCAAGGGTTATTGGAGAGTACCAAGGAGGTATCCCTTCTTATTTTCCTCCTCCTTGTTGCCCAGCCAACCTCTGCTTCTGGGTCTGGAAACTGGTTTCTAGGTTGCATATTCAGATTGATTTAGTTGGTTTCTCCTGTCGTGTTATCTCTTTCTATCATGTTAGTCATTTAAGTTATTAAAAGACTTGGTCATAAAGAAAATGAAAATTCAGTTCAGCAACCATATTGAGTATCTGCTGAAAATATTCTTGCCTCAGGCTTTATGTTTGTGGATATATGCTTGGATCTGAGCCTCAAAGGTTAATAAGTCAAGCCATAAAGATGGAGTGAAAGTAAACAAAGTCATAAATTAGATATACTTTGGGAGAAGAGGAGAAGAGATAGGATCTGTCTAGAGTAAGTTATACTATATTCGAACGTAGAAAGACTCGTTGGAGTCCTAACATGGGGGAGAGTTGCCCTAGCCTCTGCATTTCTGATTCTGTGATTCTGACCTTTTCAGAGTGCTCTGAGGACTGGTTAATCTTTAACGGCTTTTAGTTATTCTTGAGGGTTTCTTAAACAGGCTTAGGACGAGTAAAACTAATGTGTAATGAAACACTGACTCACAACCCTACTACTGGAATTGTGGGTAAGCCCCCCAGTGACCCAGCACAGTGGTTTAAAAAAACAAGGTGGCTGGGCAGGTACTCAGATGGCTACAACATAGCTGCTGGTCTGTCATTTTATATTCAGCTTTAGAAATTCTATCTTCCTAGCCATGGTAGGCATTGATTTTGTGACCCTATAAGTAGAAGGTTACATTAAAATGCAATTACTAAATACTGGTGTCTATTCTTGTTTTTGTAAAAGCACAGTTCTTAAAGTTGTTGGCATACACCAAAGTTTTATTTAACTTAATGATTAAGAAACTAGCAGAATGACAAAGAGCTAGTGAGAGAATTCAAGGGCAGGCTTTTTTAGGCAGTTGAAAAAAGAATGCAAAATACAGTTATTAAACTAAATATAAGATTGTCTAACTTTCTAAAAGACAGTAAAACCATAACATCTTTGAGGGTAACTTCTCTAATAAGCTACTAAATCATAATAGTGAATTGATTTTTCTACAGGTTAACTTCCAGCCTCTCAGGGACATAAAACACGTGTACATTTCTGCTAGGACATCCCTTAAGTTTCAGACTGGCTTATTAAAACATATTCTTGCATAATAACCAATAATCTGTCAGCCATCATTTTACCTTATCTCAAGCTTGCAATAGGTTTGTCTTAACCACTAGTACTTTTAACAGTTTCATTCCGTGAGAATTTAAAGGTAAGTTTTATTTGTGTTTGTTGGGGAAGACCATTTTTGGGGAAGGTCTTTGTGTCCTTAATCTGGATAACGATGAACAGGAGACAAGCGAGGATTAGATTAAGAATTGAATGTGAAGCTGTTAAGTATGGCTCACCTGATCTTTTGAAAGCAAGTTTTTGGATTGTTAAGGCTACCAAGATGAAAGCAGCCATTTAATTAATTTCCTTCAACTAATTGCGTTGTAAAAAAATTTTAAAGCATCTCTGTTTTCTATAATGAAGTGTACAGCCTTACGTTGTACTATCTGACATTGTAGTATCTGAAGTTCTTTCTTCATACTTACATAAGCTCTTTTTACCTCTGATACAAGGCGTACTACATTTAGTGGGCAGTCCTGGCAGTCCAGAAATCTAGTATTTTATGGAGATTTTCTGCTTATGAGACATGTGAATTCCAGTGATATATCAGTAGTTCACATAAAGTCCTTATGCGCTAGATATTTGGGACTGAGAGAGAGGTTATCTCAGATACTTACTAATTAACCATTCATTCATTCATTCATGAATTCATTGATTTATGTTGAGGTATAGTTAATGTACATTATATTAGTTGAAGCTCTACAACATAATGATTCCATATTTGTGTATATTACAAAATGTTCACAGAAGTCTAGTTAACATTCATCACCATATGTAGGCACAAGGTTTTTTTTTTCTTATAATGAGAACTTTTAAGATGTACTCTCTTAGCAACTTTCAGATATGCAGTACAATATTAATTATTAACAATAACTGATATACAGTGAATGCAATTAACTGTCGTCATCATGCCCCTTTATTTTAAACTGGAAGTGTGTACCTTTCGGCCCCTTTCACCTATCTTCCCCACTCCCTGCCCTCTTCCCCTGGCAACTCCCAGTCAGTTCTCTGTATCTATAAGCATTTGTTTTGTTTTGTTTTTTAATGATTCTGTATATAATTGAGATCATAAGGTATTTGTCTTTCTCTGACTCATTTCACTTAGCATAATGCCATCAAATTCTGTCCATGTTGTTGCAGATGGCAGGATGTCCTTTTTTATGGCTAGATAATATTAATTGCATGTATACCACAGTTTTCTCTCTCCATTCATATGTTGAATGACACTTAGATTGTTTCCACGTCTTAGCTTTTGTACATAATGCTGCAGTGAACATGGGGATGCAGATATCTTTTTGAGTTAGTGCTTTTTGTTTCTTTCAGATAAAAACCCAAATGTGGAATTGCTGGCTCACATGGTAGTCCTATTTTTAATTTTTTGCGGAACCCCCATACTGTTTTCCATAGGGGCTCTTCCAGTTTACATTCTCACCAGCAGTGCATGGGGGTCCTTTTCTCCACATCCTCACCAACAGTTACTATGTCTTGTCTTTTTGATAATAGTCATTCTAACAGGTATAAAATGATATTTTGTCATGGTTTTGATTTGCATTTTTCTGATGATTAGTGATGTTGAGCACCTTTTCATGTTACTGTCAGCCATCTGTATGCCTTCTTTAGAAAAATGTGTATTCAGTTCCTCTGCCCATTTTTTTTTTTGAAGTTTATTTATTTTTGAGAGAGAGAGTGAGAGAGAGAGACAGAGTAAGCATGAGTTGGGGAGGGGCAGAGAGAGGTGGGGGTCAAAGCATCCAAAGTGGATGCTGTGCTGAGAGTAGTGAGAGCAGTGAGTCTGATGTGGGTCTTGACCTCTCGAACCATGAGATCACGACCTGAGCCAAAGTCAGACACACTTAACTGACTGAGCCACTCAGGCATTCTGCCCATTTTTAAATCAAATTGTATTTTGCTATTGCATTGTATGGGTTCTTTATATATTTTGGGTAGTAACCTCATATCGTATTTGCAAATATTTTCTCTTCATAGGTTACTTTTTCATTTTGTGGATGGCTTCCTTTGCTGAGCAGAAGCATCTTAGTTTGATGTGGTCCCACTTGTTTATTTTTACTTGTGTCACCTTTACTTTTGTGTCAAATAAAAGAAATCGTCCCTAAGCGCTTATGTTTTCTTCTAGGAATTTTATGGCTTCAGGTCTTATGTTCAAGTCTATAAGCCATTTGAGTTAGTTTCTGTATATGGTATAAGAAAATGGTCTAGTTTCACTCTTTTGCATGTATCTGTCCAGTTTTCCAGCACCATTTGTGAAGAGACCATCATTTCCCCATTATATATTCTTGATTTCTTTGTCATAGATTAATTGCGCATGTATGCACAGATTTATTTCTGGGTGCTCTCTTCTATTCCATTGACCTATGTTTCATTCTCTTTAAACTGCCTGGAGGTGACCATCTTATCACCCTGTCAAACCAAATAAGTCTTTTCATTTGACTGTTTGATTTGAATGTCTTCCAAGTGTCTTTGATAGGAATAAAAATATTTTCTCAGTGAATTCAGTGTAGAGGAAAAGGCATAAGAAGGGAGAAGGTTTAGTGAACACATCCCACTCTGTTGTTTCTTTCACTGGGGGCAAAATGGAAGGAGTTAGGCATAAGTGTGTCAGACTCAACAAGGCCTTTAGGTGTTTGTTGAAGTGCCCTTTTTCTATAGGTAGGAGCATAGTATCACAACCTCTTTCCACAGACTTTATCCAGTGCCAACTTTCCTCTCTAATTCCATTTCTTTTCCCTGAAATATTGGTTTCTAGTTATGAACAAACTAATCATAACTCAGGGAGGTTTATATTTCATTTAAATATGATCTGCTCTATGAGTATCCCTCTGTTTCCTGACTGTCCCAAACCACTCAGAAATCTGGGCAGCCCAGCCCAGCAATATAAGATTCAGTAGCTCTAGAGATGATGGGAAGTGGAAGTGGATTTGGTATTCTGGGTACACAGGAGCTAAATGCCTGAAGCTAAGAAAGCGAGGTTTAATAGTCTATATTTGTGGGAGGGACAGATGAGTCTGTGGCTTTTGGATTTACCACAGAGCTAAGTTCAAAGCTCTACAAAGAGAGGCTTCACCAGATAATTTAAATTTCTTCATGTGCCCAGAATTTAGCTGTATTCTTTTTACTTTGTGTTTAAAGCAAGAGAATCAAGTGTATGAGGCATTTTGATGAAAATTAATGTATGGTTATTTTGATGGACATAATACAGTAAACTAATAGTTTCAGTGCCAATTTCAAGTAAGAATCAATTGTTAAGATTTAAAACAATTAACCTGAACTACCAAAGGCCAGATCTCATTCAGGTTACTTAAAGAGTCCTTCAGGTTTGAGTCAAATATTTATATATTTATTTAAAGTGCCTCAGGTGGTTTTAATATATAGCTAGGGCTGAGAATCACTGATACAAAGAAGTAGGTAATTAGGAGTACATTTTCTTTTTTCCTTCAATAATCCATTTATTGAAAGTCACTATTCCAGATGGTTAATCTTGTCCATGTCATTAAAATGTTTTATTACTTCTGAATATAATACATTCACATCATTGCATAATTATTTTTTTTATTGTTTGTTTATTTTAGAGAGAGAGAGATGCAGTGTGCGACTTGGGGAGGGGCAGAGAGAGAGAGGATAGACACAGAATCGGAAGCAGGCCCCAGGCTCTGAACTGTCAGCACAGAGCCCGACGCGGGGCTTGAACTCAGAAGCCATGAGATCATGACCTGAGCCAAAGTTGGACGCTTAACTGACTGAGCCACCCAGGAGCCCCAATAATTCTAATTTATAAAGAATACCTAGGGGGAAATATCTGCAGTGTTGGAATAAACATTAGCAAATCCCACTTGATTAAAAGTTATGAAAAGAATACATGCTGCTTATAAAATTTCATAGTAAAAGGCCAAAATTCCCCACCAGTACCCCATGTTCCTTTTTTCTCAGAGGAATAGACATGTAAGGTCATTATGTTCTCTGGTATTTCCCTTATGTTATATCTTCCCTAAAATTTAGCAACAGCATTGAGCTGACCGAAGCTATAGGAGAGATCCAGAGCAGGTGGGTTTGCTGACTGTCATAGCAGAAGCCATGATAGGGCCACCGGTTGGCGAACAGGGACTGTCATGTAACTCTCAGGTGATGCTGTTTCTGAAGTAAAGTATGCCAGGCTGAGTTTAGAAGACTCACTTCCTCCAGTCTTGACAGCCTAGCCTCTTTAAAACTCTGACTCTAGCTTTCTTGATTTTTTTTTTTTAATTTCAGTAACCAAACCTTTTTTTTTTTTTTCACTTGCTGTTTTGCAAAACCCTCACTTACAGTTCACTGTATGATTTCCTGCTATTGAAGATATGAAAGGGGAGTTTTTGCTGGGCATTTTTGGGTGGGTAACTTTGTTTAAATGTGTGGATAATCTGCACTGCCACTTCTGTGCCTAGGGGAAGAAATTATTTCAGGTGCACCCTACACTGAACTCTGTAGTGGTGGCAATATTGTCAATATTAGATACCAAAGAAACAAAGAAACAAACAAAAAAACAACAACCACTTTGCAACTTTTCAGAAAACAAATGCAGTCGCCTTATTACATTGAGTTTTCCAGGAATGAAGCCAAGAGGGATGAAAGAGGCCGCCTCTACCCCGTCACGAGTGGCCCACAGGGATCAGGAGTGGTATGATGCAGAAATTGCCAGAAAACTGCAAGAAGAAGAACTTTTGGTGAGCAAATTTTCATGCAGAAGTTTAGGTGATCATCACTAGATTTTCTTAAATAAAATTTGAGATTCTGTAATAAGCATTGTGATCCTCTGTGAGTTGAGAAACTGATAGCTTCTTTGTGGGTGGAAAATCAAGGCAATGGGAATAGAGTGTCTAGTTTTACTTACTGAGTAAGCATTAGCAACAGAATTCCATATCCCTGTCTGCTGTGGAATTTGATAAAAACAGGCCTGCTCTGGCTGGTGGCTGGTGAAAATATACCAGTTAAACTTCAAGGATGTTACTTGCAACTGCTTTGAAATGCTGGCTTATCTTTAGGTATGATTTTTAAAAATGGACAACACAGATTCTAATTAAATTTTTTTTATTTATTTATTTTTTTATTTTTTGTACCATAGGCTACCCAGGTGGACATGAGAGCGGCTCAAGTAGCCCAGGATGAGGTGAGTTCTTATTAGTTAATGAGTTTTTTAACAGTACTCTTTAGAAGTAGCCCAGTAATTTTCTGCCCACAACTCTGCAATCAGTGGTACTGACTGAGTTTTGTTTAGGAAATTGCTAGACTCCTCATGGCTGAAGAAAAGAAAGCTTACAAGAAAGCCAAGGAGAGGGAGAAATCATCTTTGGACAAAAAAAAGCATGACCCTGATTGGAAGGTAAATTCCTTTTATTATATTTTATTTTTTATTTTAAAATTTTTTAATTTTTTAATTAATTAATTTATTTAATTTTTGTAAAGGGGACTCTGCTTTTAGGGTAAGTTTTCCCAGTGTATTTGGGGTGTACAAGTTACCTGTATTGCATATGTGAATCCGACTTGTGAAAGTTATTTCATTATGAAAAAATCCTAATTCTTCAAAGTAACCATGAAAAGTAACCGCTAAGACTGAAAAATTCATTCCACTCATTTTAATACCAGTTAAGTTGCACGTGCCACTGGTTGTGAGTAATCTAAGTTTTACTAATATTTACCTTTCAGGAGAATGTAGTATTTTCACATGGTTTCATATTTCCCCAGTGGCCTTTTCTTTCTCTCTCTGCTTTCTCTCTGTGCTTTTGGTGTCCATCCGTGATCGAGTACCCACTGTTTGTCTTTCCTCTACATAACTTGATCCATGGCAGGCTGACGGCTACCACAGCACCCATCTCATGTCAGAGTGTAGGAACTGTCTAGCATGAGCTTGGACTGTTGTTTTCCCCTCATTAATCAGCAACACTAGACAAAATGGTTAGTGACTGCCGTTCATTCTGCTGCGAAGGAATCTAATTGTTGCACGAGGTGGGTGCAAGTTCAGTTTAACAGACTTCACTCATTAGTTACTGTGTGTACTGCGCCACTCAGGACTTCCAGGGAGAGACAAAGATATATTTTCCTCATAATAATATATAATGTAGGACAAAGACAAACTTGGCAGCTAACAAATACAGGGTCGACTTGACTGAAGAAAGCACAGAAGAACAGTGGAGTTGTGGGGGCCAAGAATTCCCCAGTAGAGGCTTTTCAGGGAGGGAGTTGGTCCTCATCCTGGGAGGATGCAGCTGGGGTGTGTACCCGTGACACAGTTCCTGTTGAGCTCTGTCTGTTCTCTCTTTCTCTCTCTTGTACTCTCTCTCCAGTTCCTCCCTCGGATCTCTGGTTCGGTCAGTCTCAGCTTGATCAGGAGGAAAAAAAGGACGTAGAAAACATGATCGTAGTATTGCTCTGCTATTTCCTGTTGCTCAGTTATTCAGTTGTCAGTCGAAAAACAAATGAAAGTATTATTTCCATGTTAATTATTTATAGGTATCATCTTCTTTCACCCTCTTAGTAATTCAGGATTTTTCCTGATGTATTTCATTTTAGTAGAAGGGCTCCCAAATGCTTCTGCTGTATAAACGTAAGCTACAATGATTGCCCGGAAGTTACTCATATTCTTTGTTAATGCAGCTATGAAGGAGTAGGTATTTTTGAGGATTGCACATCAGGCAAGTAAAGGGGGAAAGGCCACATTTCTAGCAAGTGTTCCAGCAAATTAGAGCCTAATTTCTAGATTCTGTAATTGGTGCTAGTATAGTTCTTCTCTTAAAAAGACTGATTGAATGTTCCTTAGTTTCCTAGTTTGAAAATCACCATCCCCAAGTCAGATGTTCAGAAATAAGTTTAAGGACACAGACCTACATTCCACAGACTGGAAGTTCTGGTCCGCCGCTGTGCAGCTGTTGTGTTAATAATGGGTGGCTGGGTATCCTCCTGTGGGGGAGCATGTTCATGCGTATTTAGCTCATTCATCTGGCCGCACTGACAGCTTCCAGCATACTTTTGTGACTGGATTGTTTTTTTTTTTTTAATCTTTGAGTGGCCACATATAAAAATATCGTATGTTGTTCAACTGAATGTAAGTAACTTGAAATTACTAGAGTTTGGCATCAATTAGATATTTTCTAAATCCAATAATCTTACTCTTTGTTTTCTGTTTTCTACATGTGTGTTTTTCTTTTTCTTTTCATTTTTTTCCTTTTTTTTTCTGTTGATAGCCAAAAACAACTAAATCGGCACATTCAAAGTCAAAAGAGAGTGATGACCCTCACCGTTCTAAGAATGACAGGCCAGCACGGTAAGATGATACCTGAAGAGGGGAGTGAGGAACTTGACTTTGGGGCGAGTAAGGAGATGTGGATTGTCTGAGAAGAGTGTTCTTGGGAGAGGAGATCCAGAAATTGGTAGCTGTGAGATGGTATCAAGTCTTGTAGGATTATTCTCAAACTTTGTTTGCATTCTTAAATTGGGTTGAACAAGTCAAATCAGGAAAACGATCATTTTACCAGAAACTAGGGTATATAAAGAATGATATGCTTTTTTGGTCAGACCAGTTTCTGTCTGTCGGCTGAGAAGGGATGAGATTAACGTTTTTCCTGTAAAATCTCAGGTTATAAAGTGGTACCATGGTCACAGTGGTATGTGCATGATATGTACACATGCTTAAATTCGTTTCTGTAGGAGTCTCGAAGGCTTGGCAAACACTTAATTTGAGTCATGATGGACTATTCTAAACCCCACTAGGTCACATTGCTGCGGCTGCGGTTGGACGTACTTTCTGACCACTCTCAAACAGCCTCGGGGTTTTGCTAATGGACCGGTTGCTGTCTTTCTACCTAAGTGTAGACAACATTTAAGTCGCTGGCGAAGTGGAAAGCAATCTTTTTTTTTGGTCTTTTATTGATTTTTGTTGCTTTTCAAAACAATACATGATTCGAATAGAGAGAATATTTTATGCAAAAAGACAAAAGTAACACGAAATCTAACAATTTAAAAATTTACTCTATTAAAACCTTAAATTTTGGTCGTAATTATTAATATCTGTTTTAATTCGAACGCATGAATTTTTTCACACTGAACAACATATAATGTTGTTGCCACTTAGTGCCCACATGTAAGCTGCTAGACTTGTTTTCTTAAAGTGAATATATTTAGTGTCTTTTAAAAAGCCATAGTCTATTTTTAAACTCACGGACTTTCAGAAAGTATCTTTCGGAAAATTACATCAGGTTTGTAAAGCTCTTAGGGCAGCACTAGTATGTTCTATCAATTGTATAAAGTTGGTTCTTCTTGTCTTTTAGTTAAGCACATGCCAGAGGTTTTTTTTAAGGCAAACTTTATAATTATTTAGTTTTATTTTCATCCCTGCAATATTCAAGTTAAATAAAAAGTAACTCCTCTGTTCTCAGTAGGTTAATAGGTGTGGTTTATTATGCTTCCTTTAGTCAGCTGAATTAAAATCTTTAGGTTTACTCTGCAATCTTCAGAATTGTGAGGCTCTTTAAAACACTAATAATTTTGACGTCAGATATGATAGAACAATCTGGAATGGCTATTTAAAAAGATGTATTAAAGTTAAAAACAGGTTTCTGAAATATAGCACGTACTTTTATTTATCTATCTATTTATCATTCTATCTATTTATCTATTTTTTATTTGTTTAATGTTTTTTCTTTATTTCTGAGAAGGAGCGAGACAGTGTGAGCAGGGGCGGGCCAGAGAGAGAGGGAGACACTGAATCTGAAGCAGGCTCCAGGCTCTGAGCTAGCTGTCAGCACAGAGCCCGACGTGGGGCTCGAACCCATGAACCATGAGATCATGACCTGAGCCAAAGTCAGATGCTTAACCGACTAAGCCCCTAGGCGCCCCTAACATATACTTTTAAAAATATTTGGCATACTGAAAGAATGAATAATCAAATGATCCTGTATTAAAAATGGCTATTATAAAGGAAAAAAAGTGACCTATGACTGATAGAACTGACTTGAGGGGAACATTTGTCTTTAAATACCAGTTACAGAAAGATATTATGTGTAGATACAGATATAAATATAGGTGACAAAACAAAAATGAAAATTTTATGAACTCTGTATTTTCATAGTTAAAAATCAAGCCTATTATTATGGATGCCTTAGACAACTAATACTGGAATATATGCTTTCTGATTAGCCTATGATTTCCTCTCTCACGCTTTCTTCCTTTTTTTTTCCCTCCTTCACATTTAATTATGGTGGGTTTGGTTCTAGCTATTTCACAGAAAGAGATGGTTTCAAGGCTGGAAACACATGAAGCTTCCTGTGCCTGGAAGTTTACTTCAGTGTGGTGGTAGTAGTAGAGGGAAAACAGTTATCGTGAGGAGCTTGCGACATTCATGGTCAAGAGTCAGTTTCTTTATCCGTTACAAGATTTTCTACTCTCTCTAAAGAAATGGAGAATCAGCTGGTGATCTGAATTAACTTCAACTCTTATCATAGAGTAAGCAGCAGTTAGCAAGAAAGTACCGTTTCCTCTTTGCATGAAATTTATCATCTACACAAGTATACAAACAGCTATTATCATGTTGAATGCTTTGGATGAAAAGTGCATGGTATTGTAAGAGAATAAGGAGACAGCCTAGTCTGGGCATCTAGGAGGGCCTCTTAAATGACTTCTGAGTAAATTCTGAAAGGTATTTTGCCTCTGTTGCTAACTTAAACATTTAAATCATTTCATGAGAACAACGGGAAACAGGTGTCCCTAATACATCCAAAACTATGACACAAACTGTTGGTTAACAAGATTTTTCTAATTTTGGATGTGAATACCCTTCACTTTAAAACAACTGTCTCCAGTGCAGTGAATCTGTTCAGTAGGGACCACTAAATACCATGAGCCAACATTTGTTCTCAGTGTAATCAGAAACTAAGCAGAGCAGCATGTGAAGAGACCGAGGGCATATTCTAGATTGACTCGTTTTGTCCTTGTGTGGAGACCCTAGTGGAGGTGTGGGAGTTTTGCGCGATGTTGCACATGTTGGCGTCCTTTTCCTTGATGAGGAATTGATGGTGAGGCAGTAACCATTGTTTGTTTATTTTTGAGAGTCCTCCCCATTATTTTTCTGGGTTTTGATCACTTAATATAAGAGTTATATAAAAAAGTAGAGACAAGGCTCTACTCCCTGATTCCCATTCCTTTTTTCTTGGGCCTAAGTTACTACTTTAACCACCTGTTTTTTGAAATTGAGTTTCTTAAGTCTAGATTCAGATTGTTTGTCTCAACTCCTCCTGCCAACTCATAGCACTACTTTTAAAGTAAATGTTATATCAGTTGACAATGAAAGAAAAACACTCTTTAATGTCTAATATTTGTTAAACACATAGTTCAAAGTGAAAAACAAGAAAAATGAAGAATACCGTATCATTTGTTATGCTCACATTAATTATATGTGTATAATAAATGCATGAAAGTATTAACACAAGCCAAATACCATTTGAAAGTTTAATATATAGACTGTGTGTGTGTGTGTGTGTAGTCTTGAATGCAGATACTGCTGCTAATAAAAATGCACATCTACGTAGCACAGCATAGTAAACAGCACAGATTTGAAGTCCGGGTGAGTTTGAACCCCAGCCTTGCCACTTAACAACTGTGTGAGCTTGAACAGATAACTTACTTCATCCCACCTAATTTAACTCTGAAATATCTTTATGACAGCTACTATGCAGACTTATCCTGCAAGTTAATAGAGATTATCTGAGTAGACCCCATGCCGCAGTCGTCAATATATACACAAGTTTGGATCCTATTATGACCTGTTGGAGACTCTGAATACCCAGGGAGAGACCTATTGCTTAGGGACAGAGGGAGAAATTTGAAATCACTTGTCTTTATTCTTCTATGACAGAGCCTTTGGACCAAGCTGATCATAACTTTCTAAATGGCAGTATACATTTAATGTGTGCCCGATTGCGTATATGGTTACAAAAAATATCCTAGGACATGGTTAGGTGTGTTTGGCACATTATGTTTCCGTGTCTGGTTCCATGCTGTTTGTAATGCAACATTTAAGTGTACCTTTGAGAAGCAACAACCAAAAAAAGGAGAGATTTTGTTCTTCTTCAGCTCCAAATATTTGCAAAAGGTCTATTTAACATAATTTTAGAAAAATAAAAATTTTGGAGTTGTAGAAATTTCCCAATGTTTGTTTTTTTATATTTTGTCTTCTTTTGACATGAAAAGTTGCCAATGTGTGACTGTCCTTTCCTTCTCTAAGCTCTGCTTTGCCACCTAGTGGAGTTGGGAGCTTTGCTCTAAATTTTATATGCTGACCCATGTCCTCTCCCTCGCCTCTCCTACTTCCCTCTCCTCTCTCCTTACCTGACACCTGCCTTCCCTTTATTTTCTTCTTTCCTTAACTTTATTACTTCCCTTCTGTTCTTTCCTTTCTTCCTCTTTTTCTTCATAAAGCTTGCCAAAAGAAAGTAAATTTCTCCTTAACAGCAGAGGTCACATATCTCATTAATCTTTGTTTCCCTAGCCCTTAGTACAGTGCCCCACGTGTATTAGGTGTTAAGTAAATATTTGTTTTTACTGAGTTATGTGCATCAAAGCAAAGGAACAGTAAAGTAAAATAATTTACTCCAAATGTTATGCAATAGGCCAAGAACTAAGAAGAAAATTCTGCTACATTGTGGCTTTGCATTTCTACCAAAAAAAAATAAAAAGTGTTTACCTTGCAGTCCAATGAGAAGTGGCTCTGTAGTCACCACTACTTAGACTATCTCTTTAAATTCGTCTTCCCTTATAGATAGTTGCAAATGACATATCAGATAAAGGGTTAATATCCAGAATCTATAAGGAACTCAACCAAACTCCACACCCGAAAAACAAACAACCCAGTGAAGAAATGGGCAGAAGATATGAACAGACACTTCTCCAAAGAGGACATCCAGATGGCCAACAGACACATGAAACAATGCTCAGCATCCCTCCTCATCAGGGAAATACAAATCAGAACCACACTGAGATACCACCTCACGCCAGTCAGAGTGGCTAAAATGAGCAAATCCAAGAACTCTAGATGCTGGCGAGGATGTGGAGAAACGGGCCCCCTCCTACAGTGTTGGTGGGAATGTAAACTGGTACAGCCCCTCTGGAAAACAGTGTGGAGGTTCCTCAAAAAATTAACAGTAGAACTCCCCTATAACCCAGCAATAGCACTGCTAGGAATTTACCCAAGGGATACAGGATTGCTGATGCATAGGGGCACATGTACCCCAATGTTCATAGCAGCACTCTCCACAATAGCCAAATCATGGAAGGAGCCTAAGTGTCCATCAGCGGATGAATGGATCAAGAAGATGTGGTTTATCTATACGATGCAGTACTCCATGGCAATGAGAAAGAAGGAAACCTGGCCATGTGTAGCAACAGGGATGGAACTTGAGGGTGTTATGCTGAGCGACATAAGTCAGGCAGAGAAGGACAAATACCATATGTTTGCACGTATAGGAGGATTAGGAGGAACTTAACGGAGGACCGTGGGGGAGAAGAAGGGGGGAAATAGTAGGGGAGAGGGAGGGAGGCAAATCATAAGAGACTCTTGAATGCTGAGAACAAACTGAGGACTGATGGGTGTGGGGGGGAGGGGGGATGATGGGTATGGAGGAGGGCATTTGTGGGGATGAGCACTGGGTGTTATATGGAAACCAACTTGACAATAAACTATTTGTAAAAAATTAAAAAATAAAATAAAAAAAAATAAATTTGTCTTCCCTTCAGGCCACCACCGCCTGCCATGACAGAAGCTGAGGATTTGGATTACACTCATGTTACAAACCAGCATAATTCCACACGTCATTTCTCAAAATCAGAATCTTCTCATAAAGGTAGGAAAAATAGGTATGGTAGAATTTTTTTTTAATATAATGCTCATGCTATGGTAGAAAAATCAGATTGTGTCTTATATATATCACTAGAGTGATGAAGTAAGTTATCCTTCCTTTTGGAAGATCATTATAGTATTCTTCATTTGTTAAAAAACAAAACAGGTAAAACAGAAAACACCTTACAGTGAATACAAGATTGTCTATATATGTGCATTTTCCTCCAGAGAGAATTTGTAGCTTTTATTATGTTGTTAAAGGGTGCCTGTAAACAAAACAAATGAGCAAAGGCAAAATAAAAAAGAGAGAGAGACAGGCAGCCAGACAAGCCAAGAAAACAGACTATTAACTGTAGAGAACACCCTGATGGTTACCGTAAGAGAGATGATGGTGGTAGGTTAAATCGTGATGGCGATTAACGAGGACACTTGTGATGCGCACTGTGTGATGTAGGGAAATGCTGCATCACTGGGTTGTATACCTGCTAATATCACAGTGTTAACTAACTGAAATTAAATAAAAACTTAAAAAAAGAAAATAAATAAAATTAAAAAGATAAAAAATAAAGTACACACGTACATTTACTCATCACAGAAAACTTCTGTCACATATAAGAAAAAGATGCAAAGGAAATGAAGAAAGAATATGAGGGCTAAGTTAGACCAAATCTTTGTTTATTTTTTTAGATCAAATCTTTTAATTTTTTAGAAAGTTTTATATTTTTTAAAAAGTTCTCCTTACCCCAACTCTTTCCACTCTGACATCCAGCGTTGATAATAAGACAAAAGATATTATTTAAAAGATGAAATTGGGGGCGCCTGGGTGGCTTAGTTGGTTAAGCATCCAACTCTTGGTTTTAGGTCAGGTCATGATTTCACGGTTTTTAAGATTGAGTTCAATGTCAGGCTTTGTGCTGACAGCACAGATTGGGATTCTGTCTCTTCTTTCTCTCTGCCCCTCCTTGCTCGTACTCTCTCTCTCAAGATAAATAATCTTTCTTTTTTTAAAAAAGATGGAATTGTTTGGACATTATCAAAACAACCCCATACACTACAATTTCTGTTAGTTGGAGGCTTTTTCACCATCACTGAACTAAATGGAAGTAGCTCATCATCTTTTTTCCCCAGATTATATACATGCATTACGTTTTAGGGGATGCCTTCCTGTCTTTGACATACATTTGATACATAATTGAAAATAACACATTGATTCTGTATATATTTTATAATCAAGAACAAAGAAAACAACCATTTGAAATGCATAGAAATAAAGATAAATTATTTTGCTTGAGCAGGCAGAAAACAGTTTTAGAGGTTTTCCCTTAATGGTGTTTCTTCTTTTTTTTTTTTTTTTCTCTTTTCTAAGGTTTCCATTATAAGCAGTAAAAACCGGAATCTGCCTTGAAAACGGACTCACTGTAGCAAATATTACTGGATGATACAGAATGCATTCCACACTCATTTTTTTCTTCCTCTGTTTGTATTCCTGGGATATACCTTCAAGTGTTTTCTGGACCATAAATAATCTTAATTCATTCAGAATGTTTTGGTTATTCCTGATCACTTGGGCAGTACAAGAAAATCTAGCTTCTGGATGTTGGCCATCTCTATGCTGCAAATGCTTCCTGGGATATAGTATCTAAAAGCTCTGTAAAATGCCAGTGTGTTAGATATGGAGTACTGGTATCTAGAGATTAGGCTTGATTTAGCAATTAGAACTTTGTGGAGATAATGATCAGAGTAAAACACAATGTTTGGATGCAATGCAGAATAAAAGAATATAACAAATAGCTTTTTTTTTGTGCATTAGTGTATGGTATATTGAAGAAGGAATCTTTTGGCTTTTGTATTCTCCAGGAATATATAAACCATCAGAACCATAAAGTATTAAATCAAACAAACAAACTTGGAACAGTTGAAACGTGTTATTGTGACCACCAGGACTGTAGCAGTTTTGCACACCCTTCTACGCCCTCCTGGGAGACATGGCCCAGACGGCATTCTCAGATACTTCCTCTTGTAATTGCTTCTGTAGCAAGGCTTTCTGAGGCCTCGGGGTATTGGGCTATTTATTAGTATTTATTGGCAAAGTTTAATTCTATGAAATTTTAACTCAGGTCTGTGCAAAGTCCATTGAAAGTGAAAAAGTGAAAAAAAATTTTGTATCCTTGTTTTACGTGTACATAGAGAGCCAAGGGCAGTGGCTGGCGTTGGGGAGATGTTCATATGAGCAATGATGCCATCTTTCTGGACATAGATTGAAGTTTTCCTCTTCCTTAAAAAAAACGACAGTTTTTGTTGGCAGCCACTCAAAAACTAATTTGTGTATCACTCAATAATCATATTAATTCAACATGAAGTTGAAGTAGATAAAATGGTTTTTTATTCAGGTATTTGGTTCTACACATTTGTTAGTGATACATGGCATTGGATTCTGTTGTACAGGACCTTTAAATCCCGCGTTGAGAATCTAGTCTCTGTCTAGTTCCTCACCTTGTGGAAATACTTATCGTCCCATTCTAGTTGGTTAACATAAGTGGCAATCACGGACATATAGAAATAATTTTCTTTCAGCTTGATTTTGTGTTATTTTTCATTATATGAATCTGATGTTTTGACATTCAAGTATGGTGTTTGCTTAGGAAAGAGATACATAGGTGACTGGAGGAAAGGTTGTTAATCCATTCTTTTCCTACTTGGAACTGCCTTTTTTGCCTTCTTTTTCCAGATAGTCTTTCAAGTCAGGCAGAATTCAGGAAGCTATTTAGAATAGTTTCTGAGTGGGTCTGAGTCCTTCTATTTTGAGAAAGATGTTTATTGGTTCATAAAGTTTTTGATTGTAGAAACTTGGGGAAAAGAGCCAAGTTTTAGAAAAATGATATCTAGAAAGAAACAAACCCTAAGAGATGTAGTCATTTTCGAGAAATGGGGAAAGAGGAAAAAAATAGGACTTTGAATGACCATGATGAAATGAATGAGGCAGAATCTTCATTCACATAGGCAAGGGCAGACAAAATGGAGGTCTGAGGCTTAGCCAAATTCTAGAGGGTGGTTTCAGTATCCAAAGCTGAGGCCTTGTTGGCTTAAAGTAATGCTATATTTTTCTTTGTCTGCCCTGTGGTTTTGCTTCATGTTTAAAAAGTTTTCTGTGGTAACTGTAAAGAAAAAAAACACAATGTATTTTTATTTGATAGTTAAGCAAATTATTTTTATTTTATAAATGTTTATTTTTCTATCTCATAAGATGGTCAATTTTACTTTAAAAATCTGCACTGATCTTACCTCTCATGAACTTTATCCAATCACATTTATTATTGTAAAATGCTGTCTGGAGACATTTTCATTCAAAAACTGAGGCCGCTTAACCCCTGGATATTAGTGTTGTAGCTGTCTTAGTGCCAGAGGTCATAGATCCCTGTGACACCCAGTTCAACATCTATATTGAAAATGTGTTCCTTTTTTTCCCTAGGTTTTTAAAAATTAGAATTTTAAAATATTTTATTTTATTTTTTAAAGCAGTTTTAGCGAGTATCAGAGTAATTCCTTTCCTTTTATTAAATTCTCTTATTCAAATATTATGATTATTATCTTTAAGACTATAAAAGTTAACAACTGTGTTTAAAGGAAGTGCCAAACATTCCTCATTCTGTTTTCTGCTTTTCACTTTTTTATTTTTATATAAATGTGGAAACATTTATTTTGTTCCTCTTTGTACTGCTGGAGCACAGACAATTCAAATTTTAGGCCCACAATGTATTATGCTTAAATGTTGTGATGTAAACTAATACTCTGGCCTTGGAAAATCTTTCTGGTTCTATACCTCTTTTCTCTGGAGGCGCCATTAACACTAGTATTGCTGAATGAGCACAGCATGGAGCCTTATTATAAGGCTACTGGATTTGTATACCTTCTGCCCCCCAACCTAGCTTTTTGTAACTCATTGCCTGAAAGCAAGGTCAGATAAGGGTCAGATTAAATGTTTGGAGTTAAAAAATGTTTAGAGTGTGAAACCGTTGTTAGATATGATTATTTTATGGGAGACTGGACAGTTGCTCCATATGCTTTAAAAGAACATTGAGATTTTTAGAAAATGACTTTGCATAACTTTGAACTACTTCTTCTCCAGTGACTTTACAACAACCAGCAACAGACTAATGGACTGCAAAAAAGACTTAACGGTTTTTGATCATAGAGAAACATCTAAATTAGAAAAGAAAGATATGGATAGATGTTTCCCAGGAGGAAAACCTTTTCAGATTTGCAATGGCCAGTTGGATCTAGATCAACGTATTCCAAGGTGTGTGACCTTGGGCCTTGTGCTGCACTGAACTCCCTCTAGAAAATTGTGACCTGGACCCATTTTCCCCTTCTCTTCTGTGGTCGCAGCCAAGCTGGATGATGAATAAATTCATTGTTAACTTTGTCCACACTTTTCCATCCATGTCAGGACTCTTTGTTATAAAAATAATTAACTTTTAATGAAGAATTATTTTTCTTCAGCACTGTCAGATATTCTCTAGTTTTTGTCTTGTGCCAGATTGTTCTTTGGGAACACCCGCTATCTAATATGGTGCATTCAGTTTACCACATCAGTGGTTAACATTTTAGGGCCTTGATTTTTAATGAGCGTTGCCTTTGTATAAACATCACTTTGGGGAATATCAGGATTTATTCCTTTATTCAATGATGATTTTCTTGAAAGATAACTATGGTGACTGGCTGTAAGATCTTCCTTCTAAGTAAAGGAATGAGACCCCTGTGTAGGCAGCTTTCTGAGGGACTGAGAACAGAAGAGAACTTGCACTAAAAGGCTTTTTTCCCCTCTTAGGAAAACAATATTTGTGTAGGGAACGTTAACACGGAAGGGAACGTGGTTCAGGTAGATTTCACCAGACACATTGTGCCATATTCTTAGAACACCGGCTTTTTAGAAACAATCATAAATTAACCAAAACCTGTTTTTTCAGCCAAAAAGAAAAAAAAGATTTTTAATGTACTTTGTCCTTTACTTACTGCTCGTAGTCAGAGAAGCGACTAGATAAAGTGGTCCCATTTTCTCCTCCTTTCTGGTGGTGCCTGTGTGTCTTAAAGCCATAACTGCTTATCTTACTGTTGATAGAATGCAGTTTTTCTCCTTAGCTTATAATAGGTAATATGATCAGCAAGGAGCAAACTGGGGGCTGTCCAGATACTGCTGCATGGGGCACAGTGTCATCCAAATTCCTCGTCAGAGAATCTCTTTTATCCCTGTTGATGACGATTATGAAAGGGAAGGATCCAGGCTGTTGTTGCTCCTGCCGTTTAATTGCTGTTAGAAATACTGAAATTTAATTCCAGAGAAGTCAAAAAGGAAGGGGTAAACTGGTAGATTTCTTGTCTTACAGAATTAGTTTTCGGATGAGACTTGCACGTTTTGCCAGCAAAGTATTGCTGCTGGAGCAGTATTGCCTTAAATTAGTTTGATTCTCACTGAGGTCAGCGTACTGTGCTTCCTATATGTGAATGACTGTCAACTCTCCACTGAGACATAAAATTCACAGGTGATCCCAAAACATCCCTGCCATCAGAACCTTTGGACTTCCTCCCGCTGAGCTATGGCTGATGTACACACTGGTAGATCTGTCCCTTCACTGAGTTGCCTCTCCATCTGTGAGTAGTGGCGTGACCACAGAGGCTGGTGGAAGGAGACAGAACTTCCTAGCCAGATTCTTCAGGTTGTCACTTCCTGAAAACTGAGAGTTGACTGTCTTTTGTATAGTGACTATGTAGAAGATATTTCCAAAGGTTGTATCATGTGTAGTGAAGTCACTTATTGTCTTGTAAAAATTAAACCCAACACTCTTGTGTTTTTAATACCATCGACAAAAAAAAAAAAAAAAAAAAAAAAGGGAGAAAACCAAACAGAACATTTACTTGAAATGAGAGAACTGTTGATGTGAAGAGTATTTCTGTTTTACTACTTTCAGGAGAAAATTAACCACGAAAACTTTTGCTGTGGTAAGGAAGACACCAGAGTGTTTTTATAAGGGTTGTATTTGACGGGATAAACTAACAGAATCATCTAAGCAATCATGTTGATTTGTGGAAATATCTAGTCCTGAAGACCATCTTCTTCCCTTACATATTTGTAAACACTGCCTAGGAACACGTTCCTAATACATTTAATATGTTGTGGTGTATTCTCAGCAAGTTAGAAAATATTTCTCTCTCTTTGAGTAACTTCATAGCCTAGTGAGTGAACACTGTGCTGATTTCTGCATTTCAGATTAAGGACAAAATTAGTTGTGCATCTTAGTGAGAGCCCCATTGTTCATTGTTGAGGTTCATGTACAGAGAATAGGAGAATTGAAAGACAGGGTTTTTAGAGACGTGTCCTTCACAAAAAAGCAAGGATTAAGAGCAGTAAGAAGACAGTTAAGAAATATACTATTACACATTGCATACTTAGGGCATGTTTTTGTTGCACTAAATTTCGTATCATAATTGCTAAGGTAGTTTCTAGCTATTAAATTTAGTAAGAGGGTTTTTGATGTCAGAACTTTTTTTTTTTTCCTGATTGAATTAGCCCTTGAAATCACTGTAGGCTATAACTTCAGCTCTTGCTATAAACTGAAAGCCAAATGCCCCTTTTTCAGAAATAACTATATTTTTCACCTGCCTCTTAAAGGCAGCCCAGTATTTATTTCATGAAGTGTTATAAATAATGAGGAGATAGAGTGGGGAGATACCATATAAAAATGGTGTTCCACAATGAGAATTCTCTATAATGGGGTTTCTCTTAAAAAGAATC